GTTTCTGAGGATGGCACATGGATGGGATGTGGAGTGGGGCTGGAGGCCATAGTGACAGAGGCAGCAATACTTCTCTGACAGGGCGTTGAACGTCTTCACTTGCCTGTTTTTTTCTCTACAGCGTGGTAATAAAGTTGCTGGGAACCCCTGCCCCATCTGCCGGGATCAGAAGCTGCATGTTGACTTTAGGGTAAGGAGAATCTTGTCTTCAGTATAAAGACTTGGAGTCTCTTTGCAGTGCTAAAAGAGATTACCTTAGGTGCCCCATTCTTCATGTCCTGGGCCCCTTAAGTCTATTTTGCATTAATTTTCTGGCAATGTAAAAACATTACTCTTTCCAGCTTTTAGCATTTCTTTATTTACTTATGGCTGTGTTGGGTTTTAGCGGCTGTTCACTGTGGCGAGGGCGTCTCTCTACTTGAGACAAATGGACTTAGTTGCCCTGAGGTATGTGGTATCTTAGATTAAACCCTCATCCCCTGCTTTGGAAGGTAGATTCTTAACCACTGGACCACCAGAGAAGTCCCTCCTTCCAGACTTTTGCCTTTTACTATGGGTTATATTCCCCTGGAGAAGGAAATGGCAACCCACTCCAGTATTCTTGCCTGGAAAATCCCATGGACGGAAGAGCCTGGTAGGCTGCAGTTCATGAGGTTACAAAGAGTCAGATACGACTGAGCTACTTTCACTTCACTTTCATGGGTTATATATAAAAGATTCATCTCTTACTTGTGAAGTTTACAGTCTTAAACTGGCAAGAGAAATGCTCATTTCTAATGAGAGGGAAATGCCCAAAGGTTCATTTATATCAATCAGTTACTTTGAGGTAAATTGGACTAGTTTTTTCCTGGGATTTTCTTTATTTTGTTGTCATTGATGTTTGATCGCATGTCAAGACTTGGGCCGGGAGGGCAGATACACGAAACAATGTATAATCTAGTTATTTTTTCAAAAAAAAAAAAAAAAAACCTTCTTTGTGAGGAGGAGAGGACTTGTTTCTTGAAGGATTCAGAAACTATAAAGATGACAGTGGAAAACTGCTCTTCTGCATTTGCAGTATTAGAAGATAGTAGAGCAGAGACTGGCTGGTCATCAGGGAAGTTGGAGGGCATTCATATGTCAGTCAGCAGAGGCAGGAATCTGGTTGCTTCCAGGCTTTTTCTGATACAGGTTGTAGAGGAGTCCAGGAGATACTTGTCAATTTCAGCTATGTATTACTAGTTACCAAAAAAGGCTGTAATCATTTGATAAAATTTCTAAGAAATTACATGACTAAGGGAGAGAGAAAGGTTACAGATGGAATAGTGCAGATGAGTCCACCTGCCATGCACTCTGCCAGTATACCTGCTTTTCCTTTGGGAGTCTCATCACCTGTGATTAATTGCTGGCTAGGAGTCATTCTAACTATTAAATCCCTAAAATTGATCTTAACAAATATAGACATTACATATAACATACCTTCATATAAGTTAGTCACTTACAAACATATAACACATACTACATTTTCTGGGTGATTTCAAGGGTTTGCCACCCCGCTGTCCCTAATTTGTTGCATGAAGAGCTGACTTTTTAACCTGACCCCTGCAGAAGAGAATTCTTTGTGAGTCTCAGTTTCAGAATGTAGGATGTGCATGTGAAATGGTTAAGAGGCCAGGAAAGAGGAAAAGTTTGCAAGAAAATGTGTTCAGTAAAGGAGTGGGGCTAAAACTGGGACATGGTGATTAACCTCTAACCATCTTGTTGACTTCCCTTTCCTCTCGTTTTTCCACCACTTTTCTCTACAGAACGTGAAGCTCTTAAAACAGTTTGTCTGTGCCTACACGGGTATCATCTTCCATGCTCCATATACAGGTGAGCCCATCACCACCAGAACAGCTTTTTCTTATAGCACCTCTTATATTTATTAAGACAGACAAGTATTTCTTCGATGACTCCTACTAATGGCATAAAAAGTGGGATGGGACCTTTTGGAAATCTTGATCTAAAGGGAGTAGTCATATGCTGAATAAGTTACATGTGGACAAAAGATCCAGGTGAGTACTAATATAAGCAGACTATCTAAATGGAGCTCTTAAAAGATAAATGATGCTGATTGTTTCCTTTCTCTAGGGTCTCTTCACTTTTCTGGAAGGCTTTCTCATAAATTGACTGTTCTTTAATGTGATTGACAGTTCGGTTAGAGTTCCCAAATTTGGTATAAGCTCACCAATTCAAGATCACATCTGTTTATTCCCTAACTACAACCACAGGTCAAATCCAGCTCACTCTCGTCCATTTATTTTCATACTGTTTACGACTGCTTCCAGGGTGCAATGGCAGAGTTGAGCTGAGATAGACAATAATATATGCCTAAAATATATGCCACAGTACCTTTGGTGTATGGCCCTGTACAGAAGCAGTTTGCCAACCTCTGTTCCAAAGCAAGATAAATTTGCAAAGAATAATCAGAATCCACCCTTTTAGGGGGTGGTAGCCTGGTCAGTGGAGTTTGGTTTTTCAAGGAGTTGGGTTTTCTATTCTTTTGGCTGCACGTGCAGCTTGTGGGATTTTAGTTCTCTGACCAAGGGTCAAACCCAAGCCATCAGCAGTGAGAATGAGGAGCCCTAACCACTGGACCCCCGGGAAATTTCCAGGGAGTTTTAAGAAGAGTTTTATAGTCAAGCTGTAAAAGGCTGAAGGACTATTTTGCCACTTTCTCAGATAATCTTCCCCAGATCTGAAATCCTTTCTTCGTTTATTGAATCTGTCTCTATGGATTGTCCAAGTTAGCCCTTTAACCACACTTTCCTTTTCTTTTTAATATTTACTTTTATTTGTTTATTGGGTTGTGCCAGGTCTTAGATGTGGCACACAGGATCCTTGAGCTTCTAGTTGTGGAATGTGGGATCTATAGTTGCAGCATGAAGGCTCTTAGTTGTGGCATGTGGGATCTAGTTCCCTGACCAGGGATGGAACCCAGGTCCCCCGCATTGGAGTGGGAGTCTTAGCCACTGGGCCACCAGGAAAGTCCCACCACATTTGCCTTTTGAATGGTGTTCTGCTCCCTGTCGTGAAGCCTTTACCATTAAATGGCTTCTCTGTACTGGCCAGACCCTCCTAAGTCTTCATCCTGGTTCTCAGAGAACATTCTTGCCACTGAGCAGAAGGGGAAACCAAGGCTCATGGAGAGGTCAGGGGAATGGGGTCATTAGGTAGAGCTGGTCTTCCATAACTAACCTTCAATCACGATAAGGAAGCAGGTGGGTTCTTTATTTACTGTGCCTTACAAAATGAGCTGTGAGTTACCTTTTTTCTCCCCACAGGGGTCTGTATGAAGCAACACAAGAAGTTGACCCAGGCTATCCAGAAAGCCAGGGATCATGGTGAGCATGAGAAGGGGCACAGAGCAGTTTTCTTAGGCATAAGGATAGTGATTTAGGGCTGGAGAGTGGATATAAGTCCTCCCAGCTATCTGAGAAGTAGTACCCAGCATGTTCTCAAGAATCTCTCCTTTCATCATTCCAGAGTCCTTTAGTTTCCTCTCCTGAGTCTCTTACCTTGTCATTGCCCTGTCCCTTCGTTCTTTCTCTGCCTTCTTATTTTATAACTGTTGGTCCCAGTGCCATGGCTAGATCATAAGAACTTTGTATAAATTTTTGACGCTGGGCTCGATGACACTTTTGTATAAGTTAGGAACAGGTAGCCCTCTGTTAGGGTAGATGCAGCTTCCTCACCCTGGCACAGGACTGCACAGCTTGGCAGGCAAGAGCCCAGGCAGCACGTCAGCTCACACTTGCCCCCTTGGCCAGTTACTTTGGGTGGCACACCACATGCATAAATGTACCCAGTGGCTCTGATTGGCCCTTTCCTCTTTTTATATCTTATTTTCCTTATTATCTTTGTTAATCTGAATTACCCTTTCCTCTCCCCTGGCTTTCTCTTTTATTTTTAACCCCCTAGGTCTCCTCAGTTACCACATTCCCCAGGTTGAACCCCGGGACCTTGACTTCAGTAACTCTCATGGAGCTGTGAGTGCTACTCCACCAGCCCCCACTCTGGTTTCTGGTGACCCCTGGTATCCATGGTACTGCTGGAAACAGCCACCAGAGAGAGAGCTGTCCCGCCTTCGCCGGCTCTACCAGGGCCATCTCCGAGAAGAAAGTGGCCCTCCACCTGAGTCAATGCCCAAGGTGCCACTCAGGGCCCCCACTGAAGCCACCTCCGCTGAGCAGGCGGGCCCCTAGAGTGCCCTGTAGGTGTAGACTGGGACGGGAACCAGCGGGTCTCCTACACAATACTTCATCCTGAAGAGTTGTGTCTACTTTGTGGCCAGTGGCAAGCTCAATCACCAGAGATGATTGTTGGTGAAAGGGATGAATACTCATGAGGCTGAGGGAGGGCAGTACAGATTTGTATGGGAAACCTCAGTCCCTGCAGTTGTAACTAGATGGGTTATACATTGTTACTATTTCAGACTTGTGCCAGCTGCATTTTCCCACAATAAAGCTGTATCCTGTCTCTGGGCTGAATTTCAAATGAATGCTTTGGGGGGGGGTTGGGGTTGGTGAGAGAGTGGGCAGTGGGTGCTGCTGTGGGGAGAGTAGTGGTCAGGTTTAAGCCAACCCTGCCGGTGGGCTCTTGGGACCAGAAGCCACCTGAAATGAGCAGTTGTACCATTCTCTCTTGATCACTTGTGGCCCCCTATGCCGGAGGCACAGTGTTGTCACTATACCCAGCTGTTCACTGAGGGGCTGAAAGGTTTGGAGAATGAGACATTAGGCCCCAAAAATGCGTTGCTATGGCGCCCGCTGCCGTGGGCGGCGAGGATGGGGTGAGTGCTGTTGCTAAGCGACAGCTGGTCTGGCAAGAAGATTGGGGTCTCCGGGGCCTGCAGCCGCGATACAGGCGAGTGATGCAGGAGGGGAGCGCGGGGAGGGGCGGTCCCCTGGGGACCTGCAGGCGCGGCGGGGGAAATACAGATTGCGGTGGGAGGGGCGGAAGTGACGTCGCGTGGGGCGGGTCCGACCGCGCACAATGGGCCATGGAGTTCCCGTTCGATGTGGACGCGCTGCTCCCGGAGCGGATCACGGTGCTGGACCAGCACCTAAGGCCCCCGGCCCGCCGACCCGGAACCACAACGCCGGCCCGGTGACATCTCAAATCTTCCCCACGGCCCTTCTCTCCCGGTTCCTCTCGTAACCTGGTCCAGGCACCACGCCCCCTTCTCGCGTTGACTAGTGACCGCTCCTTTTGATGTCCTGGCTCGCCTTTTTGGTGACCTTTGACCCTAGACCTTGTGGGGTTGATCGGGGCTTGAATCGGCCACCTTTCACCGCTTGGCCCAATGTATGGTCCCAGCCGAAGGATATGGTTGATCTGCCCTTTCTGCTTCCCCACAGTAACTTTAGGGAGAAGGGAGTGTACCATCCTGAAAGGAGGTGTGGCAGAAGTTTGGGTTTCAGAGTAGGGTGTGAAATCGGATTGGAAGACTCCAAGATAGAGGGAGGGCGTGAAGTACTGACCTGGGGTTATGGCCCAGGTTCCCAGGGAGTGATTGCCCAGGACCCTTTAACTCAGTGACTATCTGACTCATCTCCTCTCTTTCTGTAGTGTTGATCTGCAGCAGCAAATTATGACCATTGTAGATGAGCTGGGCAAGGCCTCTGCTAAGGTACTGGGGAGTCTCCATGCGGTAAAGGGGAGGCCTCTGGGGACAGCTGGTAGGGAGGCAGGGATCCTTTGGAAGGGACCTGTAGAAAGTCTGTCTTAAAATTCCTGGCAGGCCCAGCATCTTCCTGCTCCCATAACCAGTGCATCCAGGATGCAGAGTAATCGCCATGTTATGTATATACTCAAAGATACTTCAGCTCGACCGTGAGTGCCAAGTGCTCTTCCATCCTGTGCTTAATTCCTTCCTCCCCCAGCCGGTTTCCCTGTTTTGACTTTACCTCTTCCAAATAGGTGCTCACTATTGTTATTTTCTCCATCCTACAGGGCTGGAAAAGGAGCCATTGTTGGCTTTCTTAAAGTTGGATATAAGAAACTCTTTGTACTGGTGAGTGTCATTGGAAACTGAAAATTCATATGCCTTGGCTCCTGAGAACAGAAGTGCTGGAGGTGGCAGCAATGTTTGAGTCCTAGAAGATCTTTTTAAGTTAAAAATTATTATTGGCTGCTCTGGATCTTCATTGTGGTGCATGCTCTTTGTTGCAATGCAGGGGCTTCTCCTAGTTGTGGGGCATGGGCTTCTCTCATTGCTCTGGAACAAAGTTGTGTTGCATGGGCTTGGTTGCCCTGCAGCATGTAGGATCCTAGTTCCCTGACTGGGAATGGAACCCGCATCCCCTGCATTAGAAATCGGATTCTTGACCACTGCACCGCCCCTGGAAAGTTTTTGTTGTTCTTTCACCTCCTAGGATGATCGTGAGGCTCACAATGAGGTAGAACCACTTTGCATCTTGGACTTTTACATCCACGAGTCACTTCAGCGTCATGGCCACGGACGAGAACTCTTCCAGCACATGTTGCAGGTATTGCTTATCTCTTCGCCAGCTCTTCCCAGAGGCCTTCAGTCGTCCCAAAGGCCCTGCCTCCCATCCTCCCACCCCCACCATGTTCCCATATCCTTCCCAGGATTCCTGTTGGCCTGCTTTCCCCACACCTCCTCCTACCCTGAGTCTCTTGTTCCCTGCAGAAGGAGCGAGTTGAACCACACCAACTGGCCATTGACAGACCCTCCCAGAAGCTGCTGAAGTTCCTGAATAAACACTACAACCTGGAGACCACCGTCCCACAGGTTAGAAGTTTCAGAGAATAGATACCCACTGAGTGTTCCCACTGAATTTACCTAGTCTTTGGGGGGCAAAGAAGAGGCACCTTCCAAGCAGTCCCTAGTCCCCATTGGATAGGAATTCTTTTATACAGCTAAGCTCAGGGGTGGGATCGGGGGATACCATCTCTCATCCTGGAGCTGTTTCATTATCATCTCATCTATTTTTATTCTTCATCCTGGACTGTCGTGTACCCTTAAAAGCATGTTTATACCCCAAACATAAGTCAGTTCCTTTTCATCTCTTCATTTTCACCTAGGCCATTACTTAGTCAGTCAAGATTTAGTAAGGGCTCGGAACAATATATGTTCCCTATCCACAGAGAGATTTGGTTTATTTGGGGGGTAGGTGGTTTGTTTGTAAGTAGATGCAATATAATGTTGCTAATACTGTCTGTCCATTCCGGATATATTTATTGAGCACCCAGCAGTATTCTGGGCTTTAGGAATACTTGGTTTAATAAAACAGAAAAAAGTCTCTGTTCTTACAGAACTTATATTCTATTTGGGGAGACAAACGTAATAAACAAGTAGATACTCTGGTCGATAAGCACTCTAGGAAAACAAGAACAAGTAAGAAGCTTTGGGAATGCCCTAGTGAGGGTGGGAGTATGTGGGATTGCAAGTTTAAATGGGATAAGCAGAAAGGCCTCATTGAGAAAGTGTCACTTGAGCAGTAACTTAAAGAGGTGAGACTATGAGCCATTAATACCTGGAGGGGGAGCATCCCACGCAGAGGCAATGGCTAGTGTGAAGGCCATGAGGTGGAGTGGGCCTGGAAGTTTGGCTGGTGTGGCTAAAGCAGTGTGAGTGAGTGGGGGGGTGTGGTAGAGGAGATAAGAGCAGTAACAGGGAAGGAAAGACACTTAGGGCCCTGCAGTCTATTGCAAAAACTTTGGCTTTTACTCTTAGTGAAAAAAGGAGAGCCATCATAGGGATTTGAGCAGAGGGGGAATATGATAGGACTTCCTTTAATATTCATTTGGCTGCACCGGGTCTCCATCAAGGCTGTGGGGTCTTTAGTTGTGGCATCCAGGGTCTTTTATTCGTGGCACGTGGGATCTAGCTCCCCTACCCGGAATTGAACCCAGGTCCCCTGCATTGGGAATGTGCAATCTTAGCTACTGGAGTCCAGGGAAGTCCCTAATGTGACGTACTTTAAACCAGAGCACTTTGCTTGTTAAGAATACGCAGCAGAGGAGTGAGAGCGCAAGCAGGTTAAGCAGCAACAATCCTGATGATAAATGGTGGTGGCTCAGACCAAGACGGTGGCAGTGGGAAGGAGTGGTCAGATTTTAGGTATTCTGAAGTTAAAGCAAATAAGGTTTCTTGATTGATTGTGGAGAAAAAAGAGAGGGAGTTAAGGGTGATCCCAAAGTTGTTGGCCGGAGCACTTGGAAGGATGAAATTGCGTCAACTGAGATGGAAGGTAGAGCACCTTTGGAGCGGGGAATAGTAGGAGTCCACCTTGAATATGTTAACTGGAGATGTCTGTGGTGAGTTCAGGTTGAGTAGACAGTTGGTTGCTTCTATAGCGTTGGGAGAAGAGGTTTGGGGTGGAGAGTTTTCAGCACCTGTAGGACACCTGAAAGCAGCGAGACAGGATGAGAATCACCATGGAGTGAGTTATTGATGAAGTGGTCCAAGGACTTGAGCCCTCAGGCATCTTGGAAAGTCTGGGAGGAGAAGTAGCAGCAAATGCAGCCAAGGAGTGACTAGTGAAGTAGATGCAAAATTAGAAGTGCCCTGGAAGGCCAGTGGAGAAAGTGCAGAAGGAAGGAATGACTTACTGAGTCAGATGCTGCTGATCCGTGAGGTAAGAAGAGGTCTGAGAAGTGACCATTGGATTTAGCTGCCTGAGCCCACTGGTGATCCTAACAAGCAGTTTCAACGCAGTGGTGGGTGGAAGCCTGGATGGAGTGAGTTTAGGTCACAGCGGTCCTCAACCTTTTTGGCACGAGGGACTGGCTTCGTGGAAGATAATTTTTCCATGGACCCAGTGCAGGTGGGGGGAGGGGGGAGTGGTTTCAGGATTTTTCATATGCATTTCATTGATTATGCTGCCATTGATCTCACAGGAGGCGGAGCTCTGGGAGTAATGGGAGCAATGAAGAGCAGTATATACAGATGAAGCTTTGGCCCGCCCACCACTGCTCACCTGATATGTGGCTGGGTTCCTAGCAGGCCACAGACCTGCTGTGTGGCCCAGGGGCTGAGGACCCCTGGTTTAAGAGATTAAGAAGCTCAGAACTGGAGACAGCAAGAATAGGTGACTCTTTTAAATCCTGATTTAAGGTGAACAGAAATAGAGCAAGAGCTCGAGAGGGCCATGGATCAAAAGAGTTGATTCTTAGCTGCATAAGAACAAACAGCATAAAAATGACTCAGAAAATTTGATGATGTCAGAGAAAGTGGGAAGAACTGAGAAAGTCAAGAGAACTGCTGAAGCAGTGTTGCTGAGTGAGCTTGGGATTGGGTTGACAAGCCTTGGATAGAAGCACAGACAGTTAATCCATTGTAATGTGATTCATTGATGTGCTTACAGAGGAAGCATAAAGTGAGTGCTCACTTGGGTAAAGGAAGACTTGGCTTAATCTTGAAAAGTGTTTGTTAGGAGGACAGAAGTGGACAAGCTAAAGTGCTTTTCATACAGGAAGAAACATGAGCAAAGTCAGAGAGGTATTAATATACTTTTCAGGGCACTGCAAGCAGTTTTTTGTTTGGCTGGAGTGCTGAGCATATGCTTGTTGGAGGAGAATAATGTCATGGTAGACATTACAGAAGAGTCAAGACAGGAGATAGACAGGGTCTGCTTAGAATGTGCAGGACATCATTTCTCCATTAAGAGGCAGCAGAGAGCAACAGAAGGAAGGTAGTATCAGTATCTGGCATCAAATGCATTACCCAGGTACATGTAAGAGCAGGGCAGTGTAGAGTGTGTGCATGCTAGGTCACTTCAGTCATGTCCAACTGTGTGCAACCCCATAGGTGGCAGCCCACCAGGCTCCTCTGTCCCTGGGATTCTCCAGGCAAGAATACCAGAGTGGGTTGCCATTTCCTTCTCCAATGCATGCATGCATGCTAAGTCGCTTCAGTCGTGTCCAACTCTGTGCAACCCTATGGACAGCAGCCCATCAGGCTCCTCTGTCCACAGGATTCTCTAGGCAAGAATATTGGAGTGGGTTGCCATTTCCTTCTCCAATAGAGTGTATAGATATAGATAGGTAGATAAATACATATATATAGATATACAGTAACATAACGATTAATGTTTTATGAGCTCTGGTATCTACATTGGATTATCTCTGTTGATCCTTGTACATTTCTTTGAGGTAGTTCTTATTGACCCCATTTTGGGTTTCTGTAGATTAGGGACTTGACCAAGTGTGCACAGCTAATGTTAGAGCTTGAATTCGAACCCATAGCCCACCCTGATGACTACATTGTATTCCTGACCGACATACCTCAGCTAGAATCAGGAGTCTGGGGTTTGAGTCCCAGTTCTCCCCTGTGTAGCTATTTAGCTTTGGGCCAGCCATGTCTCCAAGCATATATATTTCTAGTTTTTTTGGATATATACCTAAGAGTATATAAGCGTAGAATTCCTGGATCATGTGGTAATCTGGTGTTTAACTTTTTGAGGAACTGAGAAACTTTTTCCATAGTGAATGCAGCATTTTACATCTCCATCAGCAATGTATGTTAGCTCTAGTGCCTTGACATCCTCACCAAAATTTATTATTTTTCTTTTTATAATAGCCATAATAATGGTTGTGAAGTTGTTTCTCTTTGTGGTTTTGATTTGCATTTCCCTTTTGACTAATGGTGTTGAGCATCTTTTCAAGTGCTTATTGGCCATTTGCATGTCTTCTTTGAGAAATGTTCAAGCCCTATGCCCCTTTTTATTTTTTTTTTATTTTTACTTAAAAAAATTTTTATTTATTTATTTTACTTTACAACATTGTATTGGTTTTGCCATACATTGACTTGAATCCGCCATGGATGTACATGTGTTCCCCATCCTGAACCCCCCTCCCACCTCCCTCCCCATCCCATCCCTCTGGGTCATCCCAGGGCACCAGCCCTGAGCATTCTGTATCATGCATCGAACCTGGACTGGTGATTTGTTTCATATATGATAGTTTACATGTTTCAATGCCATTCTCCCATATCATCCCACCCTCGCCCTCTCCCACAGAGTCCAAAAGACTGTTCAATACATCTGTGTCTCTATTGCTGTCTCACATACAGGGTTATTGTTACCATCTTTCTAAGTTCCATATATATGCATTAGTATACTTTATTGGTATTTTTCTTTCTGACTTACTTCATTCTGTATAATAGTCTCCAGTTTCATCCGCCTCACTAGAACTGATTCAAATGTATTCTTTTTAATGGCTGAGTGATATTCCATTGTGTCTGTGTACCATAGCTTTCTTACCCATTCGTCTGCTGATGGACATCTAGGTTGCTTCCATGTCCTGGCTATTGTAAACAGTGCTGCGATGAACATTGGGGTACACGTGTCTCTTTCAATTCTAGTTTCCTCAGTGTGTATGCCCAGCAGCAGGATTGCTGGGTCATATTATGCCCCTTTTTAAATTGTGTTTGTTGCTTGTTTGTTCGTGGGTTGGAAGAGTTCCTTATGTTCTAGACACGACACCCTTATTAGATGTATGATTTGCAGATATGTCCTCCTGTTTATGGGGTTTTATTTTTCTTTGGCCACACTCCATGGCACACAGAACTTCCCTAACCAAGGATTGAACCCATGGCCCCTGAAGTGGAAGTGCAGTGCCTTAACCACTGGACCACCAGGGAACCCCCTTTAATCCATTTTTAGCTATTTTTTTATCCAAATTCAGTATCTTGCATGTAGATATTCAGTTGTCCAAACACCAGATGTTGAAGAGTCTATACTTTCCCTTTTGAAAAGTCTTTCACTTGTATTGACAATCAGTTGACTATTTCTGGACTCTGTTCATTCCAAGGGTCTGTTTGTCTATTTTGTGTTTCTACCACTGTTTTGATTACCATAGCTTTGCAGTAAGCTTTGAACTTAGGAAGTGTGAATCCTCCCCAAATTCCTTTGTTAATCCTGAAGATTATTTTGGCTATTTGAGGTCCTCTGCAGTCCAGCTTTAGGATCAGCTTGTCAGGTCCTGAAATTCTGACTGAGTCTGTCAACAAGGACAGGAAGGCTGGCTTTTGTTCCTGCTGTGGTTTTTCTAGCCCAGGGTTCTATACCCAAGTATGTGCTGAGTAGCTTAACGGACAACTATTATTTCTCTCATTTTGTCTTACAGGTGAACAACTTTGTGATCTTCGAAGGCTTCTTTGCCCATCAGCATCGTAAGTTTTCTCACCTGTGTGTGTTGGTCAAGCAGTTGGGGTGAGGGGAAGGAAAGAGGTGAATTCTTGGTCCCCCCGGCCCCCTCACTGAGGGGCACCGCCGCTTCCTTCCTCACAGGGCCCCCTGCTACCTCTCTGAGGGCAACTCGACACTCGCGTGCTGCTGCGCTCGATCCTATGCCCGCTGGTAAAGCTGCACTGGATGGGTGGATCTGTAGTGCTCTCATGGCTAGTCACTCTGGAGGCCACCAGGAGCTCAGTGTCTGATCTGTGGGCAATTTGAGAGAATCCTAAAGCAACCCAAGTCTCCAGCAGACATTACCCATGGGAACTCAGTGTATTTTATACCTGGCAAGACTTTTAACTAAGCAAGCTCACTGGGAGCCTGTTTGACCATAGACATTGATGGAGCCTCTTGCTGCTGCAGGCCCATCAAAATAGGCCAGAGTCATGTTCCTCCCTAAACCCCTCAGGCTCTGAAAGCCAGTGAGCTACAGGCAAGTGCAGTTTCCCCTTCCGCTTCCAGTCATAGAATAGTGACATGAATAGTCCAAAGCTTAAATACTAGTTTTTGAAGATAACACTCAGAATTTGTAACACTTCCAACCAAATAATGGAGAAACCTAGCCTAGGAGGTACTGAAATGTGGCCCAGGTTCCTCATTCCATCCCCATCCCCACACATGCTCCCTGCCAGGCTGAGTCCTACCCTTTCTTCCTTCTCAAGGCAGAGGGGTGCAGCCTTCTGCTGCCTGTGCAGTGCACACCTGCACAGAAGGGCCCTCTTTCTGAAGGAGCTGCTCTGTGGCTAGTGGTTACCTCCTCTGTGGCCGGGAAACAAGAGTGTCACCAGTGACTAGCATCTGCCGGTATCAGGGATGGAGGGGCAGTTCATATCTGTGACTGGCTTTGATTTCCAAGACGTCCCCTCCGTCTGGCTCCTACTGAGCAAAGGCTGTGAGAGGGAGAGAGCCAACAAGGACAGTGAAGACCAGGTCTACAGGGGAGGGGACCCTAAAACTGGATCCACTGGGCAGTCTCCTCTGCCACACATGATGGGGAAAGAACCTCTTGAGAGGGAAAGGGAGGGGCAAGTAGAGAAGAGAGGAGGTGGGCGGCTGAGCTTGGACAGTCTGTTAGCCTCCCGTTTATTTTCTCGGTAGCTTCTTTCCAGATGTCTGTGTTTTTTCCTCATCCAAAAAGTAAGTCTCTTCCTATCTTTGCCCTGGAAGGAGAGGTTCTGCCCCACCCCAACCTCCCCTAACCTCTCCACAGCAGTTCCTGATTAACCAAGGGCTTTGTCCATCTCATCTAGAGGGACCTGGGGTCCTCGTTGGCCCGGCTGGGACCATTCCTCTGCCCCCGAATCCCAGGGGGGCCTGACAGCGCCCACTGACAGTAAGAGCTCGCCTCCCTTGGCCACCCTTCTCCTGTACCTCCCAGGCCCCAGAGTCTCCCCCGGATCTTTCCCCCAACTCTGCATTCGGCCTCCTCCTTCTGGCTCTCCTCAAAATGCTCCAGCCTTCCCCCCGAATTCCCTTCTGGTGTGATGGCACTGCCACAGAGCTTCTTCCACGGCGGAGCTGACGCCTCCTTGCCCAGGAGGAAATGTGGTGTCGGGGACCAGAGGTTTGGGGTCGCGGGGGTAGTGGCCGGGAGGAGGGCGCACGTGTGCACCTCACTGACCTCACCTGTGTCCTCTCCACTCCCAGCTCCAGCAAGGAAGCTGCCCCCCAAGCGAGCAGAGGGAGAGATAAAGCCGTACTCCTCTAGTGACCGAGAGTGTAAGACTGGGCTGGGGGGCTGGGCCTGGGGGGCCTCAACCCAGGGGAATGATTTGTTCTCTCTTAAGGCTCTGACTTCTCTTTTTCCTTCCCTGGTCTTTGCTCTCACGACTCCCTTCCCTGTCCTTTTCCTTCTTTCTCCGTCTTGCTCTGTTTTCTCCTTCCCCCCAGTTCTGAAGGTAGCTGTGGAGCCTCCGTGGCCCCTGAACAGGGCCCCTCGCCGTGCGACTCCTCCAGCCCACCCACCCCCTCGCTCCAGCAGCCTGGGAAACTCACCAGAACGGGGCCCCCTCCGCCCCTTTGTGCCGGAGCAGGAGCTGCTGCGTTCCCTGCGCCTGTGCCCCCCACACCCCACTGCCCGCCTTCTGCTTGCTACCGACCCTGGGGGCAGCCCTGCCCAGCGGCGCCGCACCAGGTAACAGGAGCTGGAGGGTTAGGGAGCCTCAGAACTCTCAGACAGGGCAGTTAGGAATGGCAGAGGGCAGTGTAAATCAGACATGAAGCAACGGGACAGGAGGATTGGAGACTCCTGAGACGTTTTGAGAATATACTGGAAGATGTGTGTGGAAGCGGTCTGGAAATAAATTACAGTGAAGGAGCAGAATAGGACTTAGGGGGAGCCTAGGGACGCTAATGCCTAGAGGAAGGTTAGGAAGAACGCAGACCCACTGGTGGCAGGGGGCGGGTTGGGAAATCGTGGTTTAACACTTGCTGGGAGGGGGCAGGATCTCTGACACAGCCTGAAAGCCACCTGCCCCGGCTCAGTGCCTTGTGTGGCGGGAGCCCACCTCGGCAGGCAGGGACTGGGCCTCTCTTTTATTTCTCTCTTCAGCTTTCTCTTCACCTCTGACTTCTCTTTCTGTTTTTCTCTCCCCTCCATTTTCCCTCTCCCCCTCTCCTGTCCATAACATCCTTCCCCAGTTCCCTTCCCCGCTCTGATGACAGTCGATACTGACAGACTGCTAACCCCCTCCCCTCCCTGGGAGACCTGGCGCGGGTGGAGACCCTTCTCCCTGAGAACCCCAGACTCAATCTCCCATTGCATCCCCCAGCATCTAGGGGAACTTGACAAGAACCCGTAGGATTCCCTTTACCCCTTTCTTGGACAACTGGGTGGTCAGGGTCCCAGGTGGCCTAACACTACATAGCTTTTCTTACCATAGAAAGCAGCCCTTCTCTCCTAACTTGGGCTCTGAACACTCCCACAGACAGCCTGATTTGCTGCCAGGCCTCTTGGTTGGGCAGCTCATACTAATTATCCAGAGAAGCACACTCTTGCTTGCTGTCAGATTCTAGAACATCATGGAAGGTCCAAAGGCCTCCTCTGCCAGGGAAACCTTTTTAAGAGAGTCTTATCCATGGAATAAATCCAATAGTCCCTCTGCACTGTCTCCTGGTAGCTCTAATACTGCTGTGTGCTACCGGCTGCAGCTACCCTATCAGCCTGCTGACGCCAGCCACTGAACGAACTCTGCTTCATAGCAGTCCAGTCAGGTAGGACAGGGACTTACCAGCTCCCCACGGGATCCACTCAACATTGCCAAACTCTTAATCTCCACATGTTTTGTGTATGTGTTAATCTGTCAGGGGACCCCTGAGCTGACGTCTGCTGTGGGACTCTAGACTCACCACGCTTCTATAGACACTACCACCTCCGCTAGGTCCAGGATCTCTGAAGGAGTCTGTTTCTTGGCAGTAGATCCCAGCAAACACCCTAGGATCACTCTTAGCCAAGTTTCAGAAGCTAAGCCTGAGTCTCAAGGCTCTATTAGCTCCTGGAATACCCTCTCACATCCATCCCTCCCCAGTAGCTAGATATGCTGATAGATTCCTGTCTTGTGAGATTGTCTTGATGATGATGGGGGAACTCTTCCTCTGGCCTCCCCTCTCTTCTTTCCTCCATAGCAAGAATCCTCCCCTGCTCCATACCCAGGCTAAAGAACATCCTTTCCCTCCTTACCCTCTGGATGTGTACTAGTTCAGGTACCCCTACTGTGTTCCCCCAAATCCTTGGGAGCAGGATCTCCCTCTTTTTCTGACTCACTCCTCCTTTTTCTTCTCCCTCTCAGTGTTGTCTGAATAAAGCGTGAACTCTTTTGTGTTTTTTAAATGGACATTTTCAATGAAAAAAAAAAACAAAGACCCAAACAAACCTTAAGGTCTCAGCCTCGTTTGTGCGTCACCCTGTATTTTCCTGGGCTCTCAGGACCTCTGGCCCTCTTCCTCACCTCTGAGATCTGCAGATCTTCCAGCAAGGAGGCTTAGAGCACCCCTCGCAGGATCTGGTGTCTGCCTGTCCCCATCTTCACTGCTGGATTTTCTCCTGCAGATTCTGTCTCTAATGTAGTCACTGGATCCCTCCATGTAGGCTTCTGTATCTATTCCTCCATTCTCTCCAGAAACCTCTAGCTCTCTAGTAACTCCTACCATTTACCCCAGGCCAGCCCTTGCTGAGATGTTAAGATTTACTAACATCTCGAGGAGCCAATTAATTGCCTTCTGATAACAATCCCCTAATTGTTTCTTGGATTATTCTTCTCTAAACCCTTGGATCTCTTTCTCAAGACAATCCTTTTCCTAAATTCAGCCTTGCCACTCCCTCTTCCCCTCTGGCTAAGGTATCCTATAATTAAGGTAACTGTGTTTTTCCAACTCAAAACATGAGAGCACCTGGTTCAGCAAAATTTTTTTGCCTTTCTGTGAATCCATTTTTTGTTTTTGGCTGCACTGCGTAGCTTGTGGGATCTTAATGTCCCAACCAGGAATGGAACCTGTGCCCCCCGCAGGGGAAGCACAGAGTCCTAACCACTAGACCACCAGGGAATTCCCCTGAATCTTTTTATAACATGATTTCGATCACATTTAACCTTACGCTTAACACATTGCCTCAACTAGAAATAACAAAGCAGCAAATCAGGACTGCTCCAGAAAACCTTGGGGTGTAAAATGATCTCCCTTCCCTTTTCTGGGGCACAACTTGTATTAAACCCCATAGGAATGATAACTACCCCCTCTGTTCCTGTGTTCTTTTATTCTTCTCCCCTGATTCCTCCATACCCACTCATCTTTCATCCTGTAGCCTCTTCCCCATCATTTCACATTTCTTCTACAGCGGGACTCCCCCAGGGCTGGTAGCCCAAAGCTGCAGCTATAGCCGCCATGGGCGGTTGAATGCCTCATGTCCCAATACAGGTAAGTTACTCATCTCCTTACCCTCAAATCAAGTAGGCCATATTCACTACCTACTCCAGCCTTCCCATATACATGCCTGGTATTTCCACAGGCAACCAAGAACTGAAGCAGGGGGAACAGGAAACAGAGAATAGGTGAGGTCTGAGCCCCTCCCCTGCCAGCCTCTCAACACCTCTGACCCCTTTTCTAACATCACTCTCAGCTACTACCTCCTCCTAAATCTCACTCTCTGAACTGGACACCAGCTCCTCTCACAGAGCCTTCCACCTAACATCCTACAAGCCTCTTTCCCCATAGGTTCAGCTCTGGTGCTTCCCTTTGGCACCAGTCCACTCTGTGGGGTTTCAGGTTTGGACATAGCACCACTGGTTCCAGCCTCATACCCCATCATTTGTCCTCTCCACAAGAGCCTCACAGACCTTGAAGAAGCTGTGATCTTAATCCTCACTTTAGTACCCGTGTAACCCACTCTCCATCTCCCTCCCACCTACTAGGTGTGCCATTGAGGAGCAGGTCTTCTCACAGCATGGGTCTGGGGAGGAACCCATGCACACAGTTACTCCACAGGCCCAGGTTCCACCAGCCCAGTCTTGGACAATGGGTGGGGACATGTTCAACGCCAGGTTCATTCGAAACTTGCATGAACGTCGCAGCACCAGGCCTTGGTGACCGCAGCCCCCTCTCACACCTTCAAAATCATTATTCCTATCTTACACAGGACCTAGTCAAAGCTTGCCCTCACCGTGGATGTATTCATTAATTCATTTATTCATTCTACAGGCTTTTTTTTTTTAACCAGTGCCAAGTCATTTGTATCTTATTTTTAACCAGAGCAATAAAGTATTTTTTACCACGAGCGTTACTGAGAACTGCGTATGTCATTATTTCAGTCCCACTCCTCACCCATCAGCGCCTACTTTTGCGCAAGCGTACAGGTGAGAGCCGTGCTCTAGGCCGCTAATTTACTGCGCAAGCGCCCTGAGGCTGCCTCCGATTCGGCGAGCGCAGGCGCACTTACTGTAGACCTAGTGCCTCACCGCCTCCCTGGAACCCGCCGCAGTGCGCAAGCGCGCAACATCTCCGTTTCCCTCCCCTCAGCCCCTCACCCCCCCCTCCTTTCCCCTTCAAGAAGCCGGCTCCGGGGCGCGCTCACCCCTGTGAGGAGGCCGGAGGCCGGACACAGGAGGCGCTCTCTCCATTCCCGGAAGATCATGTACCAGCCCAGCCGGGGGGCGGCCCGGCGCCTCGGCCCCTGCCTCCGCGCCTATCAGGCTCGTCCCCAGGTGAGAGCCGAGGGGAAGCGGGAGGGGAGGGGAGGGGGCGGGGAGAGACCCTCCTCAGCCGGCGCGTGGGGCGGAGCGCGCGTTCCGTTTCGCGCAGGCGTACTGACGTCCCACCGCTGCTTCCCACCTGTGCGGAGCAGCGCGTGGAGGGGCGAGGGGTCTCAGGGACCGGAGGGCGGCGCTGCCAGCCTGCTGTCGCGCACGAGACGTCTGTCTTCCGGATCTTGGGGGGCAGGCGGGATTGAGGCTGGCGCGGTGGGGTGCGTCCGCATTTCTCCCGCGTCTTCGCGGTTACCTGTGCCTGGAGGTGATTTGAAGGACAGAGGGCGGAGAGGTTCGCGGCGCCTCCAGGGATCCGACCAGACGGACCTGCGGGCCGCGCTCTGCAGCCCACGCCTCTTGCACCGGGATAGCTGTCCCGGCGGGAAGGCTGGCCCGAGTGGACCCGGTTCGGGCCCCTGTGCCCGGGCGGGCAAGATGGCCACGCCCCTGGCGGAGACGACGCCCCCGGCGGAGACGGCGCCTCCGGGACACCGTCGGGGACAGAGGTACCCGCGCGGCCTGCCCGCCTTCCCGGATAATGAGACCCCTCGGGGTGCTCCTTGAAAACGCAGGAGCTCGAGTCAGGCCTGACTTTGAGTGACCTCTGCCTCATCGCAGTTTCAACATCAGTAAACCAGGGGAATCATGAGGTCCATCCAGCCTTTAACAGTCTCCTGGGCTTTTTCGTGTCATTAGAGGATCCCAAGTGATGAGCTTACATTTATATACTACTTTACGGGTCGCAAAGTTTTATTAACATTTATTATCTCATAAAGTCCTCATTGTGACTCAGTGTGGCTTCATCGTCCTTATTTATAGGACATTTATGGGAAACTCAGGCTGAGGGAATTAGAATGCCTTATGTTACATTATAGAATTGGAACTCCAAAGTCTCCTAGTTCCAGTTGGATGTTCTTTTTTCTGCCACAGCTGCCTCACACACTCCTGGAGTTGTGTTAGAGGCCTAATCATTTCATCCACAATATAACGAGCCCTGTTTGGTATTCATTCATTTGTTCATTCTTAAGTATGCACTCTTGTGATTCTTGCTGTTAGAGACAGACCTGCCCCCAAACAGGTTTGGAATCTTAAATCTAAACGTATTTGCTATTTTGGGTAGATATTTGTACTTAAGTCACAAGAAAGTATATCCTCCTGTTTTAAGCAGAGATGGAGATGAATTTTTCCTCTAGTAATTTGATCTTTCCTGTCAGAAGGAACTGGTGAATTGGAAGCATGTTAATGGGCAGAGTTTGGATGGAGGGGCATTAGGCAGCTGGATTCTTATTTTTTTTCTCTTTTATTCTTCCTCCTTAGGACCAGTCTTCTCCATGGGCTCTACCATTCCCACCCCTTTGGCCTCACTCCACAACAACCACTTCTCCATCTTTGCCTCTTTTCTGGTCTCCCCCACCCCCAAGCCCTCCCACCCGACTGCTTCCCCCAGCTCCCCCACTACCTCTCCCTCAGGTCCAAGCCCTCACCTCACCATGGGTGGTTCTCCCCCCAGGAAAGGGGGAGGAGGGACCAGGACCCGAGTTACATAGCGGCTGCCTGGATGGGCTCAGGAGCCTGTTTGAGGGACCTCCCTGCCCCTGTCCTGGAGCTCTGATACCTTTCCAAGCCCCTGGAACCGCCCACCCTTCCCCTGCCACTCCGTCAGGAGATCCAAGTATGGAGGAGCACCTGGCTGTCATGTATGAGAGACTGAGACAAGAGGTAAGTCCATGCAAAAGCGGCCTTTGTCCAAAATGGGGAGAGATGTAGGTAATTCTTAAAAATAGGAAGTCAGTCAGTCAACTGGATTCTTTCTTGGAACCATGAGACAGCCTTCGAAATAGGTTCCAAACATTTCCCAAGGAAAAGATACTCCTCGGTTTGAATTAGGGATGAGATAACCTTTCACTCAGGATTAAGGAGACACTCAATATAGAAAACTGAGAAGTGGGATCATCTTTTCTTTCCTCCTGGTCTCATGCCTTCTTCTTCCACCTAGCTTCCCAATCTCTTCCTTCACTCCCACGACTACACTCTCTACTCATCGGATGTGGAATTCATCAATGAGATCCTGAACATGCGTACCAAGTGAGAATCCATTGAACGGGTAGGGCCTTGGGCAGGAAAAGGACCTAGTGCTATTTTCACTTGTTAGAGAAGGTCCTAAGTTGCTTCTCACCACCATCCCCAGTTCCTCTGTCAGAGAATAGTTTGGTTTTCTGATTGTGCTGTAATGAGATTTCTTCCCCATCTCTTCCTCTCAGAGGCCGGACATGGTACATTCTGTCACTGACTCTCTGCCGCTTCCTGGCTTGGAACTATTTTGCACAGCTTCGGCTGGAAATTCTGCAGCTGACACGCCACCCTGAGAATTGGACCTTGCAAGCCCGCTGGCGGCTTGTGGGACTGCCCATCCACCTGCTCTTTCTTCGTTTTTATAAGCGTGACAAGGAGGAGCTTTACCGGTAAGAGAAGTAAGAAACACACTACAACTTTCTAATCTTACCCTTTTGAGAGTCTGTAGTCTAGTCTCCTAGACAGTCCTCCATCCTGACTTGACTGGAGGCTCCTTGAAGGCAGGCTTTGTTTTAGTCTGCTTTAATATAGCAAAAATAGGGGCTTTGAG